GACAGTTACCTGTTCCGTAACTGGCGTTCTTTGAGATGTGTTGCTCCTGTCTATTCCACATCCCACCCTCCTTCCCTCTGTCGGAGTTGTCTGACAAGAAGAAACTGAGGGTGGGGGGAACACGCAGCTCTCCTTTTAGCGTGATATAGAGGCACCACTCCAGGGGTCGCAGCTGTGCTCCCCCAATACGGGTACTGCTAAGGGAAAAACTTCCGGCACCGGTGCACGTGGCGAGCACGCACACCTACTGTGGAATAGACAGGAGCAACACATCTTGAAGAACGCCAGTTACGGAACAGGTAACTGTCTTTTCCTTTACTGACCCTCTCCTTCGTGCTGGTCTGCATATACGTACTACTTGAGAGCTCTGGTATGGCTCGTCCGCAGTGTTCAATTTATGCATGGGCTATCAGAGAATGAGGCTTTAATGCATTTATCATCATATTAGCCTTCTCACCTTTAACGGTGTCCACATACTGCTGTAATATTTTGAGTAGCAGAGAAGGCTGAGTCCTCAACTCCAATATGTAAGAATACCGGGAACAGGGTAGATTTCTGGGAAAAGAAAGAATGTTGGAGTTTTCTAACACTACAGGGCCCAAACCTAAGACCTACCTTTGACATAATATTTGCCCTCAAGGGTTCTTCTTTGCAGTAGTGCAGTCCTTATGGATAAAGACAATTTCTGTTGAATATGTCCACATATGTTCTTTTGAACAAAATTGAAACTACATCCCAGTACAGGCATGAATGTGACATTATTAAAAAACATGTCTCTTTAAATAATAAATACAATGTAACAAAGTGACAAATTGATAGTGCAGAAGTGATTTTATGTAAGGCCCAAAATTAAAGGAAATATTTATCTTTTACTTCTGCTTTTTTGTTTTTCTGTGGAGCAATGAAATTATACACAGTATTAAATCTTGATAATGAATGACAATCTTTCTTATAAAACCTTATGGATGTATATGCGCCCTTTTCATATGCAAAAGAAGTGAAGTGTAGAATATAACCCTTGGAACAAAGGGGTATTTATTTATTTATTTATATTGTGACTTCAAAGTTAAGATCCACTGTCAATGAGCATTTATAATATTCTAATGAGTAAAAGATACCTTAGGTACCTCGTATATTATGCATTTCAGTAATCAATACACTCAATTTAAAAAAACACTTCCAAATATAAAATTACTTGGTTGAAATTAAAATCTTAACTCTTTGAAGACTTCTTTTCTCCTACACACCTACAAATACAGATAACGTATATTTAACTGTAAAATATAATCACTATCACACTCAGTAAACTGCTACTCTATTCAATATTACTAGATATAGACAAACACTCCAACTAGACTGATTAAAAAATGGCAATGGATACGTACAAAATATATCTTAAATTGGTATCCCATTGCATAATAAATACCATTAAAAATAGTGTGAAAGAATTGTAGGTTGCCACAATCCAAATATTTTAAAAGCCAAAGGAACCTTCTCTAAAAGTAGCTGATAAATTAGGTTATAGTTTCTTCTATTCTGTGGCTATTTAATTATATCCTTACAGAAATCCTTTCTGGGGGACAAATACTAAATAAATGTTCTGAGCACTCAGTATATTACTAAGCCATGCTCTTTTACTGTAGGCAAATAGAAAAACATGTTTTTGTGCTATGAGAGAAGGACTTAATAGCTTTACTCCATCACACCATCTAAGAAACGACACTTGTTATTGATTAGCTATTTTCAGATATCACATTGAAAAACAGAATGTGATAACACACATGCTTTTTGAGATCTAAGGTCTTGATTCTACAAATGCTGTCTCCCATGCTTAGTCACTAGTCATGCATTTCTGTTGGTGGGAGGCTGTGTATTTTCTACACGTATGTAATCTTTATAGAAAAAAAAATCTGTGTTTTCTTACCTGGGCCATTGCCTGGGATTAAAAGTACCCAGGACAGGGTTTGAGAACCTGAGACAGTCCTGGCAGCAGAATTACTACTGTTGGCAGATATGTCAGAAGCTGATGGCATCCTACTGTGGATGTGTGTGTTCTCAGAACTGCTTACACTGAAAGCAGAACCGTTCTATCAGCAGTTGGGTTGCTAGGCATCCGGTTTTCGACCAGAACGCCCGGTCGACAAGGGACCCTGGGGGCTCCTGTCAGCACCGCTGACCAGGCCATTAAAAGTCCAGTCGACGGCGCAGAGGGGCTAAGGCAGGCTCCCTGTCTGCCCTGGTTCTGCGCGGCTCCTGGAAGCTGTCAACAGGTCCCTGCGGCCCCTAGATGCAGGGGCAATCGGGGAAGCTCCACGTGCTGCCCCGACTCGGAGTGCTTGCTCTGTAGCTCCCATTGGCTGGGAACTGTGGCCAATGGGAGCTGTGGGAGCGGTGCCTGTGGGTGTGGTGCCACCTGGCCACCCCTGCACCTAGGAGTGGGGCCGGACATGCTGGCCACTTTTGGGAGCCATGCAGAGCCAGGGCAGGCAGGAAGCCTGCCTTAGCCCCGCTGCGCCGCCGACTGGAAACTGACTGGGTAAGCGCCGACCGGCTGGAGCCCGTATCCTGAACTCCCTCTCTCACCCCTGGCCCCAGGTCACCTCCCGCACCCAAACTCCCTCCCAGAGCCCGCACCCTCTCCTGCACCCTAACCCCCTGTTGCAGCCCTGAGCCCCCTCCTGGAGCCCTCACCCCAACTCCTTCCTGCATCCAGACTCCCTCCTGGAGCCCTCACCCCCAAACCCTTCCCGCATCCAGACTCCCTTCTGGAACCCGCACCCCAATCCCTCATCCCCGGCCCCACCCCAAAGCCCGCATCCCCAGCCAGAGCCCTCACCCCCTCGTGCACCCCAACCTCCTACCCCAGCCCAGTGAAAGTGAGTGAGGGTGGGGGAAAGCAAGAGACTGAGGAAGGGGGGATGGAGTGAGTGGGGGTGGGGCCTCAGGGAACAGGCAGGGCAGGGGGCAGGGCAAAGGTGTTCGGTTTTGTGTGATTAGAAAGGTGGCAACCCTAATCTGCAGTCATGCAGTTTTCTGAACTTGAGCGTAGCAAGCACAGTTTCCGTGTCATGTGGATGTTTTTGTTACCAGAAATCATGCATAGGCTGGTGAGCTGTTTCATCAGCCAGGGAAGGAAAGCAAAGTGCACAGCCAAGCATTTTAAGGCCCCTTCTTCAGGGTACAGTTAATTGTTTATATCAAAGGACATAACCAACACAAAATAAAATGACTCAACTGAAAAATAGCAGTCATAATCCCCAGAGGCTTTTTCCTGCCTTAACTAGCCTTGAGGAAAGAGAGGACACACTCAGTGATTTCTGTTTTTTGGGGTTCCTTTTAGCAAGTTTCTAGCTCTCATAGTTGTGGAGAAAAGCGAAGTGAGTACACCCTAAAGGCACAGAAACCAGAAGACAAATAAAAAGAACCCAGTATTTATTATGTCTTTAAAAAAAAAAAATCTGATTTTTGAGGTTTAAGTGTTGACTTTTCAATGCTTGGGTTTGGAAATATTGCACAATACCTTTCTCTGTGATCCTTGTGGATCCAGCAGGGATAGGCAGTGATCCCTTAACCCTTTCAGGGCAGCTATTTTACCTTGTCACACCATGTTACGTACTAACCACCCTCTGGACCAGTAGTTCTCAACCTGTTTACCATTGTGGACCACATATGCAGCTCTGTGTTATGTGGGCTTCATCAACACAATATATATACTACCCATACATCTTAAAGAAAAAAAGGTTTTGTATTTGTTATATGATAGCAATATGATTCAAATCAATATAGTACCTTTCATTTCAACACCAGCAAATGTCTACCATGGAGCATTTTAAATTGGCACTGTTGACTGTTAAATTAATTAATTTATTTCAAGGGTGGCCTGGCATTGTGTATTGCCACCCTCACTTCCACACTGCTGCTGGGGTTGCTGCTGGGCTGAGCACCCAGAGAGCATGGCTGTGGAGCCTGCCTGCAGAGATGGGGACTGTCCCCTATGCACTGAGCCACACATGCATCCATTCCCCCAGCCAGGGACTGTCCCTCATGCACCCAGCTCCCCCACCCATGGACTGCAGTGAATGCTTTGTCATAAATCATACATCTTTCGCTTTCTTTACTGTGGCACTGGAGAAGAGAAATTACTGTATTTAAATGAAAAGTAATGCCATTGTGATAAATCTATGTAGATTTTGCTATTCACCAAAGAATACATATAAAGTATCACAAATTTAAATAAATTGAAGAACTACTAAAAAAAATAAAGAAGCTAATAATAGATGTATCAAACTTTTAGTAGCCATTTAGAAAAAATGAAGCTAATACTACTTGAATTATCCATCATTACAGAAAATTAATATTTAGTGGTGACAAAAATAGATGAGGCTCAAAGAAACCCCAGTTCACTATTTACAAAGTTTATTTTTTAGTCATTGATTGGACTTCTAAAGTACTTCTCCTTGTCCACACAGGACCTAGTCTGACTCCTTTTTGTGTTAATCTGAAATAGGAAGAGAGTATTCTCTCTTTTTATAGCATCAGTGTTATAAAGGAAAGACATATTTTTAGGTCAGGCTAAAAATCAGACTTGGCTTCCCTTTTGTCAACTGATGTGTTGATGGGTGCACAATTAATGTCACAGAAATTTGTATCCCTGTATGGGGGGAGAGTCATAATCAAGTAGACATTTACATTATATTAATTGTGCTTGCAATTTGTAGACACTGAAAGGGAGGACAGGTTTTAAAAGAAAGGGAGAATCTGTCAGCTTAAGAATTTATTTATAGCTGTGTCTGTCCCAGGATATTGGAGAGAGACAAGGTGGGTGAGGTAATATCTTTTATTGGACCAACTTCTGTTGGTAAAAGAGACAAACTTTTGACCTACACAGGTCAACTCTTCTTCAGGTCTTAAGAATGTGTAAAGTGGAAATTAAGTTTTAAAGAAAAGTTTCAGAAATATTTGTCAAGATGCTCTATAAATTTTTTGATTTTCTCCTACAGTACTGCAGCCTCCACTTGAGTTCTCCACTTCAGAGCTGGTATTTCAGTCAAGAAGCATACATTTAGAGATTGCTGATGAAAGTCTGAGCACTCAGGTAAATAAACACACATGTTTTTATGACTATTCTCAGCCTAATCTTTTACTTTACTGGGACTGTAAAAGAGGTACTTGTTTAAATTACATTGTGTGTTCTTAATAACTACATAATTTTTTTCTAGTGTGTGTGCTTATGGATTCCAAAGTGTTTTTATCATTGTTCTAAACTACTGTGAGTTTCATATTGGTCTCTAAAAATTATGACTTTTGCTCAGTTTCTGGCTTAGACTTGATTTTACCCTCTGATTCATGAAGTAAATGGTGCACACCATGGGAAACTGGCTACCACAATGCATGAGCAGTAGTTGACTTCCAAAGATGTCCAGTGATGATGTGTAGTGTGATCATGTCTGAGCTCGTACTTGAAGATTTTTTGCAGCATATTTTATGCAGACAGTTAATAATTCATGACATACTCTTAATTTTATAAGTATGAGTTTTTCTTCTTGAAAAAGCCTTTGCAGATCCCCCATGTGGCAATCATATGTTGTGCTTCATGATCGTAGGAGCATGCTAGCACAGCTTAGCATTTGGGTAGCATGCTCACACTGATTATTTGATTATAAGTTCTGTAGCTTGTGATACACAGGAGATCAGACTAGATGATCACAATGGCCCCTTCTGACCTTGGAATCTCTGAAGCTACAGATCCAAAGTACCAACAGTGGTATAGAAAGGTTAACCTTTCCCCCTTTATTTTCTTCAGTTCCTCTCTTTCTGCTGGTGACAGTGGCGTTGGAATTATTTCCCTCATCCTTCATTGCATAGTTACTATTTTCCTTGACATTTTTAGTTAAATCCATAGTTATTTTAGGTCTTGTTTTTATGTAGCAATTTGTTAGTTTTTTGTAATAGTATTGTTAGGATCCTTTATTTTTGGATCCAGAGAAACATTCATAGTTTAAAAGTTGTCCTTCATGCCATAATAAAATGTCTGACATGACCATCACACCAGGTGCTTAAAATGTATAGGAGGAGAGAGCATCTTTTCTACTTGTTCAAGATCAATTTTTCACCTTTTAAATTTTCCCAGCCATGGTGGGTGGGTAGGGGGAAACAAGAATGCTAGATCAGAGCCCATATAGTCACTTTAATCTGCATAGGTATTGGAGGATATATACTATATAGCCCAAGTTAAAGTTTCCTCAAGAAGCTTCTTGAAAGGGTCCTTCTGGAATCATGAAAGAGATGAGCTACATTCTCTTTAATGATCTATTTAAGATATGTGGGAAGTCATTGTCTTCTAGCAGATCCCCTGAACTTCTCTATGTGAAGGGTGATATTTCTTGAATGAAGAAGTTAGAGGAACTCTGTCCTTTTCACCAGCTGTCTCCTTGATCACCTCTCTCTCCTACTGGTGACAGCATGGCCTTCCAGGAGATAATAGTGTGGGATAGTTTTAATCTATGGAGTAGGCTTAGGCATCTTATAATGCATGTCTGGCTGGCTAAGTCTTGACCCTCATGAACGTTAGTTCTTATAGCTTGCCTGCAAGGTCACGTTTACCCTGCAGCTGGCAGTGTGCTTCCCAGCTTGTATAGACAGTTGAGCACTAGCTCTGCTCGAGCTAGCACACTAAATAGCAGCATAGCTGGAGGTAGATTGGGCAGTTCGTGGGCTAGCCACCCAAATCATACCCAGGGGGTCTGATCAGGTTTATACTCGGATGGCTCAGGCGGAGGAAGCATGCGTCTGTCTACCCGAGCTGGAAGCATGCTCCCAGCTGCAGTGTAGATGTACTCTGACAGGCAGGCTAAGAGGACTAATATTCATGAGGGTCAAGACTTAGTCAGACCTGCATTATGAGCTACCTATAATGCATCTCAAGTTTTGTCTCATTCTCTCCAGTCTGCTGTGACCATTCAGAGATATTACTGGCTCAGGACTTCAGATAAAAGTGCTGGAATTGCCTTTTTGAAGGCACGCAGCCTTTCCAGTGTTAAAACCAATGATCACTTGAGCAGACTCAGAGACTAGTTTTTTGGCACAGTCTTTTCAGGGTTTTAGTCTGTCTTTAGGATGAACATGCTGTCCTTTAGGGGTGAGAAATAGTATCAGCAGCACTCAGGTGACTAAATTAGATATCCAATCTTAGGGTAAGCAAAGGTAGTTTCAAAGTGCCTTTCATTTCAAAGAGAGTCGGTTAAGGGAGAGGGCTTATCTTCTGTTCCTTTATCACAGAGGCTACTTTATACTCTGATGCAATGATGTTGGGACCTCAGTGGGCAGCCAGATGCCAGTATGTTTCAACACTATTCCCTTTTTGCATCCTTCTCCTTCTGGAGATAACTTATCCCAGTTTCTGCCAATAAGATTTTGGCTAAGGACCTGGTGTGTGCTGAAATTTATCCAAAAGAGCTACAGTTTTCAGTTCAATGGCATTCCTTATACCCCGGCTCTTTCCATATGTTCTCATGAGAAACTTTTGAGGGGTGAAGTCACAACCCTGCACCTGGGGACAATATAGCAGATGGACGAACCACTTTACTAGGGCAAAGGTTCTTATTCTTGCTATTCAGCAAAAAAAAAAAAGTAGGTTTTTAAAACTAGCTCTAAACTTTTGCAATCTCAACAAGTTTTTCAACAGAAGAATCTATATATGTAGATCTTCTAGTACTGTAATGTCAGGTCTCTTTGATAGTTTATCCAGTTCCTGCAACTTTTCACCGGTACCAGTAGTTCTCCCATCTGCATTTGCCTTACCACCACTATCATAAATGCAGTTAATCTACTTATCACACACTAGCCCATGATTGATAGCCAACTTGCTATTACTCCAGGTTATTCTTATTACATTGAAGAAATCCGTGTCATATTTAAGATTTGAGAAAATGGTTTTCCTTCCTAGGTAGGAAACATTGTTCTTTGTGAATGGTGAGTGCTGGTAAGTGTGCTATCTGTGAACCATGAGACATGCTTATTTTCTTACCTTACAGATATAAACTGCATACTCTATTGCTCTCTAGAGTGCTCTGTTGAACTTTGTGTCAATTGTTTCTTCTTTGTAGATAAAAAGTACAACATACAATAGTAACTTGTTTTCAACAGGAAAAGCTTAATATTTAGTGATGTGAAAAATAACATAATGCTTATTGCATTCTGTCATCTTACATCCTTGTTTACCTACAACTGTTTACAGAAGTTTGACCTGAAGAACACCTCAAGGCAACCGGTAACATGGCAATTAGATCTTGATGGTGCAGGAAAAGCCATAGAAGATGGCATTTTTAAATTTAGTCTGTGTGCTGGAGTTCTTGATCCAGGACAAAAAACTAGTATCACCGTAGGCTTCTGCCCATGTAAGTATTTTTCTGAATTTGTCAACTTTTATATAAATATTTGCTTGTTCAAGACTCCATTTCCAGAGGTGTATTTAAGTCTACTTTCACTGTGAATCAGCACATTTTCTTTGCTGAAATATGTTTGAAGAGCTAATTTGCTCAGATAGCCAACTTTGGTAAAAACTGAAAAAAACTATAAACAGCCCCTTTCTTGAACTCCTAAGTTACATAGGTTGAAGCCAGGAAGATAGTTTAAAGATAAAAGTAGCATTTCCTATCTAGTGCAACAGGTTCCGGGATTATGCCAATGGAAAAAACCCCTGTTGAAGCTCAGAGAACTAAGAGTGCTGCAGTCTGGACAGCTCAGGAAAGGGAGATTGCTTGAAACATTTCTTCTGTCTGTATAGCATAGGATACCTGAGACCTTTTCTTGGGGAAAGCTTAGGGGGATGAGAATAGATTCAAATTAATGGGTTCCTCTGTGAATTTGAGGGACACTGGTTTCAGGCATTCATCTCACTCTAGGACAGTGTCTTAATGAGGCTCATTAGGTGAGTGTGAAAGAAGCTTGTTCTGTGGATAAAATAATTCCTACACTCTTCTGTGTTGTCAGTCCTGCACCTTTAATGAGAGGTTATTTTAAGTGAAGTAAAAAATTAAAACTCTGTGGACTAAGGAGAATTTGTGTGTGTGTGTGTGTGTGTGTGTGTGTGTGTGTGTGTGTGTGTGTGGTTTTTGTTTTTTTTTCTGAATAGCCAGAATATAGAAATAAAATGCAATTTATCTTTTTAGAAGACTTTAAGGTTGGGACATTTCATATATTTTTGAACAGTTCTAATTGGTTTAGTCAAGTAGATTTTGTATATAAAAGGTAAAACATATCCCTATAAAAATTCAGGAGGAGACTCTGAAGATTATAGTCACTTGGAAACCCTAGAACAGGAAGTAATTACTGTGACAGAAATTGCAATCACATGTAATACCTTTGGGGACCATACTGTATTAAGTTTATGTATCATTGGGGGCCAAGGACTGTATGCAGCTTCAGTGGGGGGAGGGTTATCATGGCTCCTCCAGGAATCACAAACAGTGGTGGTGGTGGTGGGGGGTGATTAAAATGCCTTACCCTATGTTGTCAACATCTCCCGAGAGGTTTTACCCCCGGAAAGGCTTGCCTATATTGGTTAAATCTGGATTTTCCAAAGACCAACAGACAAGAAAAGGGCTTTTTGATATAAAAAGGCTGCATTTAAACTGATTCAGGGCCTTTTTGCTGATCCAGCAAATGGACAGGGCCTTCTGTCCAAAAGGGGCCCCAACCCTTGCAGAAGGGTTGGGAAGACTTTGGCCTCCAGGGCCTCAGGAGTCTGGTGGGTGACCTCTGGTAAGTTTATAGCCTGTGTATAGGAACGTTTATTGTTTTTATGTTTACTCTGTAATGCTTTTACCTTAAGAATAAAGGTGCTTGATTAGGAAGAGCTGTGTGGTTACTTGTATGTGCTGGCAACACACTGTTCTTAGCCCTCTCAGAGAAAGCAAAGCACAGGCTCTGGCCTCTAGGGAGATTGGCTTGCTGGGGATATCGTAATATAAGACAAGAAATTGTGCAGCCTTAAAACACCCATCAGGAGAGAGTGAGATGTGGGTTTCTACCCAAGGGAGGTGATGTCTGGGAGTCAGACGCCTTAAATGGGCACATGGAGGGACCTAGGGAAACTAAGAACCATGGAGGGGGAAGACACTGCTGAAAAAAAATACGGAACTGAACTTGTAATCTGAAGTAAACAAGGGAAAGCATTGAAGTCTAGTTACATCTTATTACCAAAAAGGCTAAGGGCTGCAGGCTGATTCTATATATTACATTGAGAAGATGTTACGTTCTACTCTATGCACATATGTACATCTGTTCTCATGTAAGACCACAATCTACTTACAAAAATATAAATTGTTCTTCGAGTGCTGGTCCCTGTGTGGATTCCAAATGTGGGTGGGCATGCGCGCCATGCACCAGAGCCACAACTGTTGCTAGTAGTGTCTGTTGACATGTGCATGCATTGGCCACGTGGTGCGTCCGAGGCTTTATGAGGCTCTGCAGGTAGATGCTGCTCCAGTTCCCTCTTCCCGCCGCATGGCCACAGTTGTAACCCTGTTCCTCTGTGCTCTTAGTCACCGTATATAGCTCTTATTCACTGTATATAGTTCTCCTTGTTTTTAGTTAGTTAGTTTGTCCATTCTTTGTCTGTAGTTAGTTAGGTTGTTTGTTTGGACTTCCGCCTTTGGGAGCTTCTTTACCCTCCCCGGGGATTATGTCCCATCAAGCTGGTTTTAAAAACTGTGCCTCATGCCCTCACTCCTTCTCAGTAAATGATGAGCACACCATCTGCCTGTATTGTCTGGGTGAAGCCAACATAGTTTTCCGCTGCTCCGTTTGCCGCTCCTTTCTATAGCGGACCTGAGCAGCTTGCGAGCTTTGGCTCTGAAATTTCTTAATGGTGGAGGCAGTGCACCCATGTGCACAGCAAGACCTGGCTCTGATGGAACCACCGGAGCGATGTCTGTCTCAGACAGTGAGCACCTCACCAGGCCCCTCCTATGTGGCACCACTGGCACTGATGAAACCTCACCGTGTGCACAAGAAGCATGGGAATAAGGGTGGATCCCTGACGGGGACCGCCTCAAAGCGCAGCATTTCCTCCCTGAACCGGGACCGTTCGGGCGAGAAGTCGCACACTACAGCTGACGGTCTGACTTCAACTTCAGCACCAGGTTCAAACAAAGTGCAAACAGAGCATCCTCTAAATGCCACCGTTTTCTACTGGCCCCGTCTATGCAGGCACGGGGACCCTTTACTTCGCTCCCGGCTCCATCAACTCTACTGGGATTCTTGGGTTCAGTTTACCTGGTCACACACAGTCCAGGCTGCTCATCACCTTTCACACTGATGGCGGAGCTTATGTTACCCATTGCCCACACTGCACATCTCCGACCCAAACGGCCACCCGCCAGCATGAGCCCCTGGACACTCCAGCCCCATCGGCACAGACGGTCCCGACTGCCCTGCTGGAACCGCCCATCCCTACCGCCGCTTCATCATCACCGGACAATGCCCTTATCCCGTCTTCCCTCTCCCCACTGGATGACCGCTTGCAGTATCAGTCCCTATTTTTTCACATGGCTACTGCCCTCAGCGTCCCAGTGGAGGATGTTCAGGACCCCCAAGATCAATTCCTGGACATTTTTCAACCCCAGGGACCCACCTGCACAGCTTTGCCCATCTACTCTGCCATATTGAAACTGGCCCAGACAGTGTGGCACACACCAGCCTCTTGTGCCCCTACACCAAAATGAGCAGAATGCCACTATTTTGTTCCCCCAAAGGCACAGATTTTCTCTTCACCCACCTGCTGCCAAATTCTCAAGTAATCAATGCTGCTACTGAATGTGCCTGCCAGCAGCACTTCAAATCTGCAATGCAAAGAAACTGGACTTGCTGGGTAGAAAAGTTTATTCATTGGCGGGATTACAATTCCGTATTGCCAGCTACCAGGCTATTCTGGCCAAATACGACTTCCTCTTCTATTCTAAGTTTGCAGAATTCCAGGATTCTTTCTTCCGACTGATAGCAGGACATCCAGTGCATGCTGAATAAGGGCAAACTGGTAGAAAAATTCACGCTACAGGCTGCAGTAGAATCTGCAGACGCTGCCTCTTGCTCCTTAGCATCCAGGGTTGTCCTTCATTGCGACTCATGGCTCCAATCCAGCGGTCTTCCTAAGGAGGTCCAGATGATGCTGGAAGACCTCCCCTTTGACAACAATAAACTGTTTAGCGATAAGATGGACAAGTCCCTTCATTTCCTTAAGGACTCTCATGCCACCCTGCGCTCCCTGGGCATCTATACCCCAGCCCCCATCCTCCCACAACAGCATCCACCCTTCCACCCTTGTCCTTGCACCACCTATCAACCATACCCCCCAGTGACCCTTTGAAGCCCCTTGCCATTGCTCTCGCTCCCAACTGCCCCGACACACTTCTTCAGCCACCTTGGCAGCCTCAACTTCCCACCGACCGTTCAAACAATCGTTTTGACTCTCACATCTAGAACTGCAAACTATCACAATCCTTCCGGTTGTACCACATGTCATATTCGGGGGCTGCCTTGCACTCTTCACCCACAATTGGAGCTTGATCACCTTTGCCCGCTAGATACTGGACATCATCTGTCAAGGATACCTGATCAAATTCTTTTCCTTTCCCCCATGCCACCTACCCAGGGGCCGCCCCTCAGACCCTTCCCAAAACTATTTTCTCAGCAAAGCCACTGCCCTTCTCCACAAAGGTGCCATAGAACTTGTGCCGCACTGCCACTGTGGTCGTGGCTTCTATTCCCCCTATGTCCTCATTCCAAAGAAAGGGGGTAGTCTGTGCCCCATCCTGAACCTCTCCTACTTAAACAAATTCATCTGCAATTTTTGCTTCCAGATGGTCACGCTCCCTCTTATTATCCCCTCCCTTTCCCATGGAGCCTGGTTCGCGGCTCTCGATATGAAAGATACCCATTACCAATTCCGTGTCCTCCCCTTTGGGATCATATTTATGAAGGTCTTTGCGGTCGTGGCAGCCCACATGCGCGGACTGGGCCACACCCTATTTCCTTACATGGATGACTAGCTTCTGGTGGCACCCTCTCACTCCGCCTCCTGACCAGCATATGCACCCTGCATATCCGCCTTCACAAATTAGGAGTCTGCATCAACAAAGAAAAATCCAGCCTCTTCCCTACCCACACACTTACCTTTATAGGAGCACATTTGAACTCGGTGGCAGCCAGAGCCTTTCTCCCCAGGGACCCCTTTACCATTCTTGTTTCCCTTAGTACCATGCTCTGACATGGTCCAAGCACGCGTGCCCGCTAATGCCGCTCCCTTTTAGGAAACATCGCGGCCTGCACTGCTGTTACACCACACGCCTGTCTCCATATGCGCTGCCTCCAACATTGGCTCCGCACAGTTTACGAT